TGTTAATGTAGGAGAATGGGGCACAACATTATAAATGTGAGGGAATGATGTCAAACCTAACATGTTTCATTCATTACATAAACGGGATAACAAAGATCCCAGCAAAATGGAGTTTGGTTGCCGTGTGACCCATTATATGCACTACATTTCTCTAATGGACAAACGACACATCAACTTGACACATAATGGCCACCATATATAGTTCATCTCCCGAATGGGCAAACGAGACACATAATGGTTTGAATGTGTCAATGTTAATGTATCACTGCGTTTCTTAAGAAAGCCGATCAATATAATATTATCTTGCTCAAAATTATTGAAGAATGGTTATCTACATTGACTACTTTTACTTTTTAAAATGGATGTCCATTCTAACGATTAGTGAGTAAAAGCCCTCGGCTACTCTGATTCGACCCAGGTCTCCGGACCCACGACGAAAGAGAGAGACGGTATATGCGGTCAGAGCGTCCATGAGCATGACCCTTGACAGATGGGACCAGAGCGGTAGCAGGTGGCGTAGGCGAGGAAGATAAAGTAGGGACAACCCGTTGACAATGGGTCCCACGTGCAAGAAGAATAACTTTAGAAGAAAAAAAATCTGATATAACACGCTTGCTTTGTGCCTTTAAGAAATTACTATTGAAGGTCTATCTAAATAAACCTATTATGTATGCTTAGAATTTAGGAAATTCTTTGGAGTTGCTCCTAATTGAGCTCGCCGACCTCGGGTTTTGCTTCCTACTCCATCCACTGGACACCATCAACGTCCCGGAGAGCATCACGAGAGCGACCAATGGGTCAATCCCACACGCACACACAAAATAATGAGATAGTCTAACTGTAGTGAAGCAGAGCGCGTCCACGTAGCCCCGTCCGACCGGCAACCGCAGGCAAGCCTCCACCTCAAACCCGTTCCTGCCCCAACCAGACAACCAACCGCCACTCACCACTGCTGCCCATGCCGCTAATCCAGAACCATCCGCCCGTGGACTCGTGGAGCGGAGGGTGCGTACGGAGTGAACACGAGCTCCCTCCCTCCCTCCCAGTCACTCTGCCGTTCAATCAAGGCTGGTTGACCCCCACGCCACAGGCCCTCAACGGCAGAGAAAGAAAGAGAAACGATCGACGACCGACGATGCTCGGCGTGGGCTCGGCAACTTGCGGTGCGCGCGATAAGCCCGGCTGACTCGAGCGTGACGCGTCCCGTGGCCTGTAGCCAAGCCCGTGCCGACCCGATTGGTTTCGCGATCCTTATCGCCGCACCGCCGCCGCGTACCCTCCGGATTCGGTTGGTCGCTGGCTCGGCGGCTTCCGGGCGAGTCGGCGTGTGCGTGTTCCTTCCGTCGCCGCGAGTGACTTGAGGTCCGTCCATCCAACAGAACAAAACGTGTGCTCATGGTGGAAGGCATCTCCCGTGGCCGTACTCGACAATTGCTAAAGAAACCCAGGCAGGGTTTGGGTTTCTGAGGGTGAGGCAATCCCTTTCGTCATGCCACATCGGGAACCCCGACGAATCAATCCAGCAGGCGGTTGATATAATATATGGAGTAAGTACTAATCCAATACTAAGATTATGCGTCCACAGATAGCTGTTCTCGACCATTCGAAAAGAAAAATGGCTCATTCACAAAGCCGATGCTCCAAAACAAACCAAAGGCCCTTTCGGTGCGGCATGTCCGGACCCTGCGGCTGCAAAGGGTCAGAGCCTAAGAAGAGCCGTCCAAGAAATGGAACGGGACGGAACGGAATACTTGCGGCCCAGGAGAAAACGATGCGACAATAAACCACAGCTGCGAGCTGTCTCCTCCCAAGCACGCCATACACAGGGAAACAAGAACTTTTCAACCCCGGATTAAGGAGCTGGGAGAACTTTTCTCTGTGCGTACGCCGTGATGATGCGGCATGGTCATCGGCCCACGGTCTCACCCGACCCGTGATCAAGCCAGCCAGTACGCGCCGAAAAGTATTTTCTTTCTTTCTTTTCCTCTTCCTTGGATTCCAAGTCTGGTCGGCGGCCGTGCTGAAGCAACGACCGGGCACGGAGGCACCCCCGCTAGTTTCCATCGCCGTGTACTCCTCCTCTGATAATTGCGAGTATTTTCATATTCATAGACCCATAAAGTTTTCTGACATGAATATTTCGAGCCAATAAAGTTTCCGTGGACGATGAATATTTCGCCGGGACGGGACGGGACAAGAGCCAGAAATCTAGGGTAAAACGGAATCTGAGAGGATAAAGTAGGATGACACAGGCTGTGCCCTCATCCTCAGGCTCGGATGGGCTGGGCCGAGCCGACCGGTCCCCGGGCCACCGAGAAATATTCTTGATAGACTGATCCAGTGATCTCTGAATGCGATAGCTTTTTCTCTAGTGGGGATCCGCGGGTCCCGCCGGCGAAAGATCTAGAAACAGTGCGAGCTTTCCCGTTGTCTGCCCATGCGCAGAACTCATCAATCAGTGTAGCATCTCCCGTAGCGAGTGAAGCGACGTAAACGGTAAAATTCTCTGAATACCAAAATATCTCAACAGTGCGGTAGCTAAAATATATACTACTACTGTACTAGATTTTGCATAGAGATGGATTCCTTCGGTTTAAGCATGATTGGGCTTTAAAAGGATTTTGAATGTGATCCTGTCCGTTGAATCAAACCGATTAAGAAAGTGGGCCCGAGGGGAAACCGGCGGCGGGTCCCAGCGTGCTGCTGGTAGTGTATAGGGCCAGCCAGCCACCTCACCCCCACCAAGAGCTTTCTTTTCTCAATGTCCTCTGCGCCCTCCTCCAACGCCTCATTATCACCATCCATCATCAATCCATCTATCTATCTATCTACTCCCATTTCTTTTTCTTCCCATATATTTCATTTTCAACATTTCCCCTCAAAACACCTATTATTGAGAATTTTCAAACATGTTTTTTAGTTTCATAGCAATCTCTAAATAAATAATAAATAGGCACAAGAAAAAATACCCAAAAATCGGAAACACGTATTCATCATATCTCGTACAAAAACAATGTCCTTAATAAAAAATCTGGAGCGTCTGATCAACATCCAACGACCACCAACCAACAAATGCACTGTTCATCTTCATCCTCATTTTCTTCTTCCTCCCAGCGCCATCCTCCAACCCATCCCGTTGAGCACCACCCCAGGCAACCGTGTCACACCCCCCCCCCTATGCAGCCCACCACCGTGTCGTTGTCACCAAGGGCAATATCTCTACCTCTCCTCCCCCAACCCCTTGCTCTTATACGCTCACAGCCCCCACCCCGGCACCTGTTAAGCCGCTTCTTCACCTCCACCCGAGATGCTGCAGCTCACTGCTACTCGCAGCGTCGGCCGCGTCTTTAGCGAGTTCCTGGCT